ATTCCTGCTTGAATCTCCCTTGCCCCCTGGCCAGAGCCTGACCCCCTGAGCCTAACCAAGGCTGACCTGACTATGCCTGCCATGACTGGTCAGATGTCCAGTCTCTGGGCTCGACCACAAGGAGGCTGCACGGTAACTCATCGCTATAGCAGGAACCCAGCCATGGAAGGTGGCATGGACAGTGCCCTTCTTTCTGGAAGGTCCTCAGGTTAGCCCAGTTCTGATGGCACCTGCCAGCCACAGGACAGTATATTAATATCCACATGGATAAGGGCAGCAGCCCAGGCAGGCGACTCCTCTGCCCTCCCTGGAGTGGGAAGGAGTGTTCATTTCCCTCCAAAAAGCACAGCCAGCTGGGCTCCCACCAGGGCTGACAGGGCAGCACAACTAAGATAGGGGTATGGTGGCCCCTAAGGTCTCTGTTGCCCCAAAACCATTGCTAGCTACTGAACAGGCCAGTAACCATGCAGACATATCTCAGAAAGAATTTCTCAAATTTCTCTCCATCTCCAGTTTGGAAGGCCAGTAAGGTGAGGCCTTCAGCTAGAAGATCAAAAGGCTTGTAACCTCCACTCTCCAGGTGAGCTCTTGGGAGAATCATTGTGCTGTGGGCCCCTCTGTGTCCCACTCTGGGCATGGAGAAGTGGATTAGAGGACTTCTAATCCACAAACATACCTGAATGGCTTGATCCCAAGTCGGGACCCATACCATCTTAAGTGCACCATCTCGCCTCACCACTCAAGGCTGCCAAGCCTGTGGGCTGTGGACGGAATGAAGACTGCAGACTGTGTTATGAGTCACAGCATTAGTAACCTTTCTATAGGGCTGTGTTGTCAAGCAGCACTTGGGCCTCCCGAGCCTCCCTGGGATGCAGCAGGCCAGCCAATCACTCAGAGCCACCACCAGCGTGAGTCAGAAAGGGAGATCGAGGCGGTGACCTCAGTCTTGCTCCCCCCCCACTGTCCCCACTCTACTCACCCCACTCTCAGTTCTTGGCAGCTTAGAGGGGAGGGGATGAGGAAGGACTATTGCCCCTTGGTTACCAGGCAAGGGTGTTTGCAGAGTATAGCAGTGAGGATGCTGGCAAAGCAGGTGGCACACACAAGCAGAGTCATAGAGGAGAGGCAGTGAGTATTTTTTAAAGGTGCGAACAAGGTTAGGAAACCTAAGGATGAGAACTGGTCCCCAGGGCTAGTAGCACTGAGAGCCGCTGGCCTAAAAGGGCCTGAAAGGGGCGAGGGGAGGGAGCAATTAGCAGAACGCAGAGAGGTTAGCTGGACGGAGAGGCCTCCCTGAAAGAGCTGAGGCCTTGGGAGCGGGACACAGCCGACCCGCAGCAGCCCAGCAAGAGCCTCGCTCTTCTCCTGCCCTCCAGTTCCCTGTCAGGGCCTCCCACCGGCCAAAGCTTCCTGGGCACGGAGGGTAAGGGTACCAGGTGATGGAGGCTATACAAGCCAGCTTCCAGGGGCTCAAAGCAGAGTGGAGAAAGCCGATGGGTGGATCTGGAGGGACAAAGGGAATAACCCAGCTCTCAAGCGAGGAAGATGAATTCTGCCCCACCCCGACTCCAAGACAAACCCAGAGCTGAGTTTCTAATGAAAGAGGTCACATAAGGCCTGGGTTGAGTGGATACACTAGCTGTTTCATATTGGCAACCTCAGAGATGGTCCCAGCCCACCTCCCCAGACAGTCACCTGTTAAGCAATTGCTCCTGGGAGAAAGTCAGAAGCTCCAGACAACAATGTGTTGCTGTGTTTTTTAAGCAAGCCTCTTTACTAATGCTAGGAAAGGGATGAGGGTACTTACTTAGAACTTCATACTTTAGCTACTGCACAGCCAGGCCAGAAAAGCCTTCCTATGCTCCATACATGCCCAATGTAGCCAAATACATATTTGCACTAAAAGTTTATGTGCAAAACTCATTCATTTCACATCTCATTTGTCAAAAGACATTTTGATATTTGTGCTTAAAAATAACATGGGCTAGATTAGTACAGCAGAGCCAGCACAGGAGATTGGGCTCCTTCTTAGCCATGTTCATAAATCTGACTCCTAATTAATCTGAACACTGAAAATATTTCATGAACACTTTGTTGCTGGCTGCCATTTCCAGAAAAAAAAAAAAAAAAGAGAACAAAGAAAGAGAGGGAAAGAAAGAGAGAAAACAAAACGGTATCTTCCAGATAAACCCTTCTTGCTGGAAAGTTGCCACAGTGAAGCCAAGTGTGGCCTTAATAGAATACAGTTTGCAACTGAAATGGCTTGTATGTTGGCAAGAGGTTCCCCTCTGCAGGGACCTGGGGATCAGCTCTGTGGCGTGTGAACCTATAATTAGCCTTGGGGCTCCGGC